TTGGCACATTACGCAGTTATTGTTCTATTTAGTTAATTTCATTCAGTTGGTGCTAACGATCACATAAACTGTTACTGCTCTCAGTCCCTTAGGAATTAAGAAATAGTGCTTTGTCTGAGAGAATCGCTATAGGTATCTCACAAAACACATGAGTTTTTAGTACAACTAAGTCATAGTTATGAAATAAAATCTTTTAAATGCACCTAAACCATATACCTACCATTCCAATTAATTTCAATTATTTTAATATTAGACTTATATTCATCACGTGGGTGTCATAAAACCCGACTAAGGAAGAGAAACTACAAAGGACAAAAGCACTGCAAAGAGAAGGAAAACTTGAAACAAACCTTATACCAACCCTAGCGTGGTATAGTAGGTCAAAATCTCTTTTCTAAGGAGAGACCTACGTCCAGCAGTGGACTATTAAAGGCTGTTGATAATAATGATTGAATTTTAATTTGCAAAATTAGACAGGGTAACCGAATACTAAGCAGAAAAAAAAACTTCAATACATTGACGTCATCAAATTTTTTGCTGATCATAACTCCTTAGTTTAACACAGTAAGTTGTGAATTAAGAATTACCCTCGATTGTATCATAGCAGTGTAGTAATGCGAAATGTTAAAATACAAAGAATACTAATACATTATTATTTAATTCAACACAGATTTATTACGTGTCACCGAAAGTTTATTGTTGATAGGAGGTTATATTCGGTACATTTACGCTCTATGGTGAAGTTCGGCAGTTAAGAAAAAGTTCAACTGATAGATAAGTAGGTCAAAGTATTATGTTATTGACGATTACAACGTACTTAAGTGAACGGTGTGTACCTACTTAACTTGTGAAAATTTACGGAACTCTAATAATAATAATAAATAATAATAATAATGGTAATATCCGAAAATTCAAGTGATGTGGATGGAAAAAAAAGGCAAACATGAATTGTAACAGAAGTTTTTTTTATGAATAGAACAATTAAAAACCAATAATAGTTTGATTAGTTCAAATGAAAACATTAACAGACAACTCATCATCATCTTCGGTTAGTGTAATGAGTAAAATGCAAAAGGTTTTGGCTGATTTTCATTATTGGGCGGAAGTCATCGTCTGCATGAAGTCCTTTTTTCTTCTCAGCTGTTCTTGCCATCCTGACTATTTTAAGACGAGACGAAGAAAGAAGGAAAATTGAGTAAATAAAACAGATAGGACAAGGAGCTATAGTAAACTGCAAGTCTTTCGAAGTCGCATATCCGTATTTGATAAGAAATGTCTCTAGATGGAGAACAGCAACTCTGGATAAATTAAACAATCGAATACATTATGTTTATTGATTTTTTTATTAAGGCATCTTTACAGAATAAACACAAAACATTCATACACATAACTGTTTCAAACTAAGTTCACGTGCTACTTGCATTACATACATGTACAGCATTACCAATATGCATAGACCACATAATAACTATAAAAAATTAAAATGTTGTAAAATAAATATCAAATACTGATATTGAAGTTAATTTTATGATTTAAACAAAACGGTATCTTGTGACAGAAATCAACCCCGCGTTTAAAAATTAAAATTTTTTATGAGCTATTGCTAGTAAAATCTTTTATTAATACATGGTCATAGACCGACCGGAAACCACATAACCATTTAAGATATTAAATGCATATTGACATAACGGGATTTTAGTCCGTCTATCTCAAATGGATGTTACAAAGCCACTGATAGTAATCGCCACTCTGGGTCCGGTCACACGGAAGAAATGCCGTATACGGTTAGGCAGACCATATGCTTGCTTGCCAAATAACTTCACAAAATGCCATTGATTTTATAACGAACTGGGTTAAAAACTAAAATAAACTTCAAGTGTGTTTTACATTATAACTCCTCACAGACCTATGAAACCAGTATTTTTTTACACCACTTGACTATGTGGTCACGAAACGTTAGGTCTGTGTTAAGATTTATACCTAAATCCTTAACTGTTGGGACCCTAACCACCGAGAACCCATAAACATTATAACAATGTAAGTTGGGATTACGTGTACGACAAAAAGTGATGCCACATTTTTGGGGTTAAATTGCAACCGATTTTCCTTGCCCATCATTCACAGCGAGAGACAGTTTAAGATCATCTGCAAACAACAATCAATTTGCGTATTTTACTCGCTTTGGCAAATCGTTTATCATTAATATAAATTGCAGATCTCTCAAATTACTGCCTTGACTCACACCAGACCAGGTAAAATATGATCCTCCTGTCGTGCTCCTCTTTGGCTGGAAGCAACGTTATGAGTCCGAGAGCTGTATTCATGTTGTCTGTCTTCTTACTCGCATAAATACGCTCTTGTTGATAGCAGACTCTAACACGACGGCGGCGACGATTGAACTGCAATCGGCTGGTACTCGTCAACTTTATCGAGTAGTTTTACGTCTAATCCAATCAGATTAATATGCGCAAAGATACTCTTACACTGATCGATATCAGCAGTCAGTTCTTCTGACGTGCTTCATGTGATAAAGTCGTCATTGGCGGCATTTTCAGTTATACCACACGTAAAGCTTAAATACGGGTATATTCGCTTCTGAGTGAGTTGCGTAGTAGTGGTACTAAACCACAAGGTGAGCTTACAACACATGAGATATTGGTGTAACATTACAACCACTAGATGGCATATCAATCAATTTCTCAGTCACAAATTGCTACAAAGTAACATTCCTATCGCTTTACGAAACGTTCAGAATAATGATCTTCAATTACACGACCCACATTCCAAGAGCGTATACTGTCAAATACCTTTTCTACCTATAAACCTTACCTCCATCCGTATTATTCGTAATACCCTAAGACTCAGAACCTTTGGTAGAATAACATTTATAACGATTACCTAAAGTAGGATATGTGAACATGGCTTAAGGAAGGTACGCAAAGATTTAGATCTTGAAATATTAGTTGAATTTGGTCTTGGGGAATATGTTGAAAGTGTACATTTCCTGCTCATTAGAGACAACGTGATCATGAATAGAATACGGGTACGGTTTACTAATTTAGAAGCAAACAATATGTACAGTACACTAAATGTATGACGTTACACAAAGCTGCGGTCATTTAGAGGATCGTATGGCAAATTAATAAAATAAATATATAAAAAAATAAATTAATGTTAGTAAATATCGTTGTGCTAAGAAATTTAGGAATGTATTTTTTGAAAGGTTGAAATTGAATTTAAAAAGAACAATGGAACTTTCTAAGGAGATGCCTATGTCCAGCAGTGGACTGTTTAAGGCTGTTAGGCTCCATACATAAAAATATTTGGAATCAAATTGCAACGTCTTGTAGTCAAATTTGTTTTAAAAATCGTCTATATTTTTTAATCTATGTGTAAAACAATTTTTGTTTGGGAAAGGCTAGGAAAAAATTATAATATATTAGCATTTGATTTTTTTTGTTACGTACTGTTTTTTATGGATTCTTTCTAAAAGAGTCCACAGATAAAACAGTCTTATTCCTAAAGGAGAAAAAATATAGGTATTTAAACCTCAGTATACTGATAGAATACAATCCACTTAAACATATCCAGATAGCAATGTCCCTTTTAAAATTATTGCAATAGACCTAAAAAAATTATACTAATTCAAAATTGACGTTATTTGGTTTATCCGCACGCTTGAATTTCGAAAAGCTTGTTTCGAAGACCTTTCTTAAAGCCCACGTTTTTTAAATTTATTTGCGCTTTTTTGTATAATAATATATATAATGTAACATTTAAGTATTTATGTATTTGAATTTTGAAATAAAACAATGATGTATTTTACGGTAGTCAGAAATGACCATAAAATAGTCATATATACCACAAGAACTGAACTTAAAACAGCGAGTATCACGTCGCCATTGCCGTAAATCAGGAGACAAACGGTGTAAAGTTGGTATTATGCACCACAAACCTATTCTGGGTGACGGGCCGGCCGTTGGCACGACTCCAACTGAGGACAATCGATTTACATAACTTGGATGAACGATCAAAAATCTATTTAAACTTTGTTTTTGAGCTTGTTGTGGAGTGTTTGTATCAACTGAGTTTGTTTATCGATAAATTTATATGATAACTCATCAGTTAAATGTTGAAACATTGAATTATTCTACAGGTTAAGGGTAAGGGAATATTTCAGATAATACTCAAGTCTATTTATTCTCACGGCAATTGAATGTTACGCTATTTCGTTATTATAAAATTCTCATCTTTTTACCATATCTTATACTATATATTCAAAACATATTTATTTAAAAAGTAAGCTAGTCATTACTTTGTTGAATTTACTTATTTTGATTTGATGTTCATGTTGTTTATACTTATATTTCTGCTTTCCTTTGACTTTTTTTGAGTTAATGTGAATTGTTACGATCTTAAATATAACAAACAAATTATATAACAACAAAATATTTAAGACACAAATGTCAACCACAATACACTACAGAACTGGAACGGTTACTAGGTTCTACTTTCAGGAAGTGTGTTGTTCTACCAATTTTACTTCCCACAATATAATCGTACATATAAACCTTTGGCATCTGCACTGTAAGCACAAATAAATGTTCTTATGCACATAAAAACCTGCTGAAAAAGTTTAACACGCAGACACTAATCTAATGATCGTGCTCTTCACAATATTTATTTATTTATATATACATCTTTATTGTACACCGCTGCAGTATATATTGTACAGACATGAATGGACATCTAAATTTTGGTATTACAATAGGCGGTCTTATCGCTCACGGCAATCTCTTACAGACAACCTTTACACGGATATTGTTTAATCTGATTTAGGGTAGTCTATGGTGTACTTTAACACTTATTTAATTATGTGTCTTTGATCTCAATTGAACTCATGACCTCTAAGCTCAGCAATTTAGTCTTACTAAACACTAGACCCACAGACCCGTCGTCATTCTGCTTGAACATTTTCTAATCTATAGTAAATACTGATAATGGCTTCTCTTTTGTTTCAGAATCTCAAAGATCAAATTTTAACCACCAACGTCTGGCTCGAACACGTAAGTTACCTCTACATTGCTACTTCATCTACTATGCAAAGTTGCTTGCAAGCGAGCAAAATTTCCCCACATATTACTTGATAAATTATTATTAGTTCACTTGCAAGTTTATAAATTTGAATTTATCTGCTGAACAATAATGGAAAATTGATAAAGCAAATTCTAGAAAATCAATTAGACTTTCTAGAACTTGCTTTAACAATTTTCTCCGTCACATCACACATCATCGCATCAACAGTCTTTAATAGTCCACTGCTTGACATAGATCTCTCCTTAGAAAGGATGTTTTGGCCTATTACACCACGATTTTCTCCATATTAACTTTTATATATTTTGTTTCTTTTTATCATTGACCACTGTAATATTAATTGTCCGTTACTTTCCGTGACACATTCAACACGTATGAGCTTATGGACATAAAAAGTCTTTTAAACTTAAATTTATTGGTTTTAATTTTTGCTACTTTACTCTTACTATGTTTAAACTATGACCTATTTTAAATTTTACAAACAAATTTACTTACAATTAGGTATAAATAGTTTTTTGCACCTATTTTACATATAATTTTATTTTTTATAATTCAGCTAAAAATAATGTAATAATAATATTTTCGAGCATTTGACCATCTTGTTTCAAACTAAACAAAGCTTGTACTATTCAAGATAGATTGACTGATAGAATACTTATATCATTAAGATATTAATAAGATATTATCATTAACAGAAAAATAATTTTTCCTCATAATTGTAAATTTCATTCGTATACTCCTTATATTTGGACCTACACGAGTGAACAAAATCCTATCATAACAATTATTAATGCAATGTTCAATACTGGCAGAACGTCACATCATCAAATTAAACAATATCAGAGCTGTTGTATTATTTCTATTAATTATTTAAAATTCATTAAAATTCATTTGCCGGCAGGAATGGGAAGACCACAAATTCAAATGGGATCCTGCAGAATACGGGGGACAAAAAGAGCTGTATGTGCCATCGGAACATATTTGGTTACCTGACATAGTGCTTTATAACAAGTAAGTATTTTAATATATCTATAACTGTGTGTGACAATCAAACTCAAACTCAAAATATCTTTATTTCATATCTTTTTTTAAATATTTGAAATCTTTTCTTGTGTAGTCTCTAAAGTCATAGATCAACACACATAACAGCAACAATCTCTGTTTTGTCAAATATTAAAAAAAATTGTATACGTACGTATCGAAAATCTCTTATATGCCTGTGCCGATCTACGACCACTCATTTTCAAGGGCTTGAGCCTTATGAGAAGAAATGGCCAACAAACTCACGGCAATGGTGAAGTTCTTTTTTTACAGAATACGTTTACATTATACGTCACGTTATGTATGAAGATTCTGGGTGAGGCCATGGAATTTTAAGGAAGATACGTTATGTTCATACTGCACGCACAAAATATTTATTCCGTAACACTATACATACATCTATTAATGCATTTTAGAATAAAATATACGCTACAAGTGTGATAGGAAAAGCACAAGAGTGAAAGAGACAGCTATTTGTAGTTAGTACAGCGACAGAAGGCATTTTATAAAAAAATTCGAGTTACTTAGTTCGTTTGCGCGCTTTTTGTAGTCCTAATTAAGACCCTCACGTTTTGTGCGTTGGTGGCATATCTACCTCTTGTATGAATATAATATCATTGGGGTAAGAAGAATACTCGAATAAATAGTTACGGGATCCATACTAATATTATAAATACGAAAATGTGTATGTCTGTCAGAGTTAATTACATTTGTCTGTCTTTTACCTCTTCACGCTTGAATCGCTGAACCGATTTAGTTAAAATTTAACAAAGAGATAGTAAGAGTCCCGGGAAAGGACACAGGGTAGTCTTTAGCCGTGAAAATTATACTTTAAGGGGGATGGAAGTTTGCATGGGGAATGAAGACCTGCTGAATTGATTTAGATGAAATTTGGTATGGAGATACTTTGATTCTTGAAGAAAGATATTGGCTACTTTTTAATATATAACAGACAGGGTAACAGACATTTACGCTGGCGGAGCTGCGGGCAAAACCTAGTTATTTTTCTCATTGTGACCTACGGTTATTTCCTTGGGAACGCCATGGTTTAGCACATATGGGCTGGCTCATACGGAGTGATAACACGGCCTCACAGAATACTGTTATTAAGAAAATCTTTCTCTACATTTCACCAAGTGATTGTGGAGGAGGTCAAGCTAGCTCTCTTCCTCTCTTATTTTGGGGAGGGGAATTCAGACAGCGGCAGCGCACTTATAAAAATATATACCTCACACATCACATAACCAGGCTGCTGATAAACATACTTATGTATATTTAAATACATACATATTATAGATAAATTACACCCAGATACAGAAATAAAGGCCGAGCTCATTACACAATATTTGTCCTGGGAAGGAATCGAACCCATGACCTGCGGCTTAGCACTCAGGGTCACTAAACACTAGACCAACAGGCCCGTGAACTTGTATCTTTTGAGTTGCAGGTTTCCATAGGCGGTGGTGGTCACTTGCCTTCGAGTGACCCATATACTCGTTCACCACCTATACCATAAAAAAAGTTACGTGAATGTAACGATAAAAATAGATAGATAGAAAACTCTTAATTTGCACACCGTTTTACAAAAACTTTAGACTTCAAGAAATCAATTACAATTTATAATCAAATATAAGGGAGAATCAATAGATGAAACAAGCACAAAAAAGTTTTTAGGGCTATATATCGACAATGACATGGCATAGAGAACACAAATTGAGTACACTCACACTCATACCCATTATGCATACGCATACAAAATAGAATAGTTCATAAAATTGTCAGACATGTAATGTACAAAGGGCGGCCTTATTGCTAAGAGCAATCTCTTCCAGTCTTAAGATGGATTAAAATGGTTCTAAAAGACAGTAGTGAAAGTGCAATAAGTTTTGATAGATTTAATAATAATGAATATAAAAAAGGTAAAAAATTATAAATATATGCATATTAACACATATTTACACATACCTACAAGTGTACACACATACATAGGTATACCTACTTAATATATTATATATCACAAATAAAAAAAAAAAAAAAAAATTAAACATTCTCATCATGCCTTTTGCCATCAAGAATTTTGGTAATCTTCAATAGAATGTTGAATGTAGCTTATTATCCTAAAACACTCAACAAATTCTTGCCACTCCTAGAGCTGATTTATGGTAGCGTGGGGTGTTGCGCGTCTTGCCTGTGGGGGACTCATTCACGGAAAGCGTTGTTTTTGCGGATCATCTAGAAATGTGCAAAGTCTCAGCGGCTATTTTTGCAGAGGAGCTGCAATACATTTACGAGTACCGTGGCAGACAAATTTGCATGCTGTAGAATTATCCAAGGTATATCCATAATTGCGTGCCCATACTAACCATCGTGGTGGGGTTGCCCAGAAAAGTTATGTACTTAATGACCAAAACATGTGTAACTGTGTTAAAGCATTATTTAAAAAAATACATTACCTACCTACCTACGTACCATATCTTTGATAAACATCGTCCAGTAACTATAAATACAAAAAAAACATGTACTTAGAAGAGAAGATCAGGAAACAGTACTTTGAAACAAATTTGTACTCGATAAGTTATAATAAACGGGTATTTACCATGTTTATTGTATCAATGAATCCAACGAATCTGTATTTTTAATCACTTTTATCAAATTACTAGCTTTTGCCCGCGGCTCTGTCTGTCTGTCTGTTATCGCGGTAAAAAGTAGCCTATATCTTTCCTTAAGAATACAAGTATCTTCTGACTAGATTTCATCTAAATCTGTTTAGCAGTTTAAGCGTGAAGAGGTAATAGACATACACTTTGCCGCATTTATATTATTATTATTATATTATGAATTAAGACAAAATAAGTAATTACCTGTCTATATAGTTGCCATTGTTTAGGTATTCATCCTAATAAACATAATATTTTAATGAAGAACGAGTGTACAAGAAAACTGTACGTAACTATGGCTCGCAACTTGGACAACACAACAACGCAATTTGGTGTAGTCTAATGTCCGAATATTGGCCCACATACTTTAGGCGTTGTTCGGGTATAGCTAGTAAGATTCGTTACAATTTTCTAATTAGGGGACTAAAGTTGTATCAGGGATTTCCTTTCTAGATTCCACCTGGTTCCTCGGCTACTGGTACCCGACGGCGTGCGGTGTTTAGTCGGTTCGAGTCTGACATAACTGCCCCACCGGTCGTCCGGTGGGTGGTTATGTCCGTTTCCGCATGTGAAAAAAGGGGACTAATGCTATTGTGTCAATGATAAAGCGGTTACCTTAAAAAACACTTTACACTTTGGTTGTGTAATTGATGTAAAGTATGTTTATGGAAAACATACATTACTTAATTTTAATTACCTTGCCGTTTTACTTAAGCAAAATTAAGATAATTTTGTAAAACAGACGCCGTAGGAAAGATAAGTGAGTTTACTACTTCATTTGAAGATTAAAAAAAAATAACATTATTTTAATAAGTTTAATATTAATATAATTGATTGAGGCCATAATCGACCATGTCCAGCAGTGGACTGCGATAGGCTGATGATGATGATGATTACCTAAATAGTAACAAAAAGTAACGAAATTTGTTCAAAAACTTTTATTAGATTTTGGTTATTTATAACGCAACTCGCCAAGTGATAACTTACAGTCACATACATTAATACATTACGATAGAGTATAACGGATGGCGTAGTGGTTTAAGCGGTCGCCACGCCGCTTCCTACTACGCCGAGTGCCGTGGGTTCAAACCCCACATGGGACGACACTTTGTGTGATCCACAAATTGTTGTTCTGAGTCTGGGTGTTGTGTCCGTTTCATGTATGTTTGTAAAGTCCCCCGCGACACATGATATATTCCTAATGCGGGAGGGGTCTTTAAAAAAAACTATGGCATACAATCAGCCACGTATTATTTGCCTGATGCAAGCGCATCCTTAAAGTCCGCTAGTTAGCTTTAGGTAGATAGTAGAGAAATTAATTCTCTAAACGTCATATCGGATGTCGCTCGTTCAAACGTGTTATGTTGTTATAGTTCTAAACTAGTGTTCAGTTAGCATGTTTCTGCTTGGGCACGAGTTCTTAATGAGTTGTACAGTGTAGAATGTTTATAAGAGATTAGCAGGCAGTACTAATATTTTTAACCATAGGGACGCTTTCCTTTATGTTATAATTTAAACAAAACCTTTGTAATTAATTATTTTATATTACGCTGTTACCTGTTAAAGAGTGGCAAAGAGGGATACAGATTTTTATCGACAAGTTTTTATGAAGAACTTTGTGCAAAAATAGGGGATGTATATTCATCAGTAGAAACTGCCGTAGATGCTGAATGAACAATAAAATTGTTTTTTTTTTGCTTCATATTGAGCACCAAGCTAGTATATCTATTGGTGCTGTAAGTGAAACAGCTTAGGTGCTGACACCATAAGTGCTGAAAAAAATTGTGCCGAAAGAAGAATACTCCGGCAAGAGGGTTCCCTAAAGTATTGGAAATATTTGAGACTTTGAAAGAACATTAACTGGCTGTATAAGTAATTTATAACTTTGTGCTTGAATATGTGCAAAAAGACCTCGCTAATACTCGTTACAACTATTTAAAAATAATGTATCTGAAGGCAAGACAAAGACTAAAAGAATGAACACATTGTTTAAATATCCGTTATATATCCGCGTGGTGACGGATTAAGAATACAGAGTACCCACCACCCCTACTCATCCCGTGGGTGTCGTAAGAGCCGACTAAGGGAGCAAACTATGAAGTACAACAGCACTGCAAAGAGAAGGAAAACTTGACACAAACCCTAAACCAACTCGTCTGGCCAGCGTGGTATAGTAGGCCAAAACCTCCTGTCTAAGGAGAGGTTTATGTCCAGCAGTGGACTATTAAAGGCTGTTGATGTTATGTGATTGTTTATATGTGTTTACTATTGTTTTTACTACATGACTGTTTATAATATTTCAATAGATCTTTT